TCATACAAAAAAAATTAGCTTCTCGTTAATGGTGAGATTTTATTATATATAAGTGAACGAGCAGCTACTACAAATATACATCAGAGTGGAATTTAACCTTCTAATTAGTAAACTAACTAACTGAGATGTCAATAACTATGTATAATCTAGCTTGTACTAAATTACGCCAATATAATAATATGGGGATCGACATCGATGGTAGCTATAGGGATATCATATAATATAATATTAGTTAGAATGGAGAAGACGAATCGATACATTCCAGACGTTATTATATCAATATCTCAAAAGTAGTAGCTTTTCATCATCTACATTTAGCTGTACGCTTATAAGGTACAATAACCAGTATTGCTCTTTTCTATAATAAAAATTACTAAAATTAAAATTTTATATGTAAATTCTATTTAAAAAACACTTTTCTACCTTTGAGGTAAATCATGACTTCAAAATCAACTTTTAATCTTCATCTTTGTTCAACAACATAGAAATATAATGATAAATAACCTAAGATTAAAAAGAAAATATTCCATAAAGCTAAAAATATAACATCTTTAAATAATCCACCAACATCAAATCCAAAAGTACTTAAAATAGTTGCACCTGGAATTTCAATTGATAATCCGTATTTTTTCTCTCTTAAAATTAAACTTTTAACTTCATTAACAGCTAATGCTTCATACCCATAATGGAACATACTTAAATATTGTAAAAATCCAAATTTTAAACTATCTTTATTTATAAATAACCCAGAGAATAATAGTGAAAATAACAACGTCAAGACACCGATCATAGTGGCATTGCTTGAATCTTTAACTAATATACCAATGATCAAAATTTCCACAGAAACTGTTAAATTAAATAAGACCAAAATTAAAAGACATTTAATAAATCCATTATTTTCTAAATTTAATCCAATTAATGGATATGCAATACTTGTTAAAATTATTGGTGGGAAAATTCTTAATGGTAAAACATCACAAATTATTTTGGTAATATAATAACTTAATGGATGATAATAATTATTTGAACGTTCTTTCAAAAAAATAATTCTTTCTATTGAAAATGAATGTAATCCAGTTAATGTTGAAAATCCAAAAAATGATAAAAAGAAAAAAAATAAACCTAATCTATTTTGAAATCCACTTATATCATTATCAATATTGTAATATAAAAATCCACAGAAAAATCCCATGAAAATGGAAAGTAAATATGAACCTAATAAAAGTTTTGGACTTCTATAAAGATTTTTAAATGTTCTCGAAGATAAAATAACCAATTGACTAGTAAATGTTGCAGTTTTATAATTACCTTTGAAAACTATTTCATCACCTTCAGCAATTGAAGTTTCAATATCATTTTTTAACATTTCAAAATTTGTTGAATTTTTAAAAATTTCATAAATTTTAGATTTTTTACGAGGTTCTGTATGTGGTTTTTGTGAATCTGCCTTATTAAAACCGGCTTCATCTCTATGAACTGCAAAATGTTCCCATTCTCTTTGTGCATCACTTGTATTGCTACTTGATCTTGTTGGACGATGAATGTCTTCCTCAGCTTCATCTTCGAAATCAGCATTTTCTTCATCAATACCAGGAATTTGGAACTGTTCTCGTCTTGAATGACGATGTTTTTCATTGAATGTAATATCAATTAAATAATCTGCAATATTATAACCCTTTGGACATTTATAACCATTATTATAGAAAAATTCATTACATTGAATCATATCACCAGAATAAATCAATTCACCATTTGCTAATAATACCAATTTATCAAATAAGGAAACAATATTAGATCTTGGTTGATGAATTGTGAACACTAAAGTTCTTTGGTATTTTTTAGTTAATCTAACAAGACATTCAATAACATTACTTGCATTATTTGCATCTAACCCAGATGTTGGTTCATCCAAGAATAAAACACTTGGTGAAGTGACTAATTCACAAGCAATTGAAACTCTTCTTTTTTCACCACCTGAAATACCTCTTTCAAAATCAGATCCAATTGTTCTATCTTTAATATTTAAAATTCTTAATTCTTTTAAAACTTCATAAACTTTACGTTCTTTTGCCTTGAAACTCATATCTCTTGGTAATCTTAGTAATGCACTATTCAAAACAGTTTCATAAACTGTTAAAGTTGATAATAAATAATCTTCTTGATCAACAAATCCAATAATTTTTTTCAAATCATTTTTAGAAACAAGATTACCATTAACTTTAATATCACCTGAAACAGTACCATTTTTATTTTTTTGAGCTAAAATATCTAATAAAGTTGTTTTACCTGCACCTGAACCACCCATAATGGCAAGCATTTCACCAGGTTTAACAATACCAGAAACATTATTTACAATAGATCTTGAACCAACAGAATATGAAACATTTTCAAAAGTTAAAGTAACAGGTGTGTAATTCAATAAATCATCTTGTTCATCATCATCTTCATCATTTCCATTTGTTGAAGATGAATCATCTAATGAAATTTTACCAGTTGTAAATAATGGAGATTTCCTTATAGCTAAAATAGATGCAACTATAAGTGCAACAACACCAATAATAACAGTAATTATAGTGAATAAATTTTGTAAAGTGAAAGTTGGTTTTTTAGGTATATCATAACCTGGAATTTCACTATAGTGAATACATTCACCAGATTCACAATGTAAAGTGATATGATTATCACCGAAAACTGATAAAATTAAATCATCCATACTTGGTTCAGAAAATTTACAATTCTTATCCTTTAAATCACATGAAAAATCACCTGGACCTTGAATAGTTTCAGTTAAGAAATCAGAAATATCAATTGAACCTTTTTCACCACATAACATTCTTCCAGGAACACATTTACAAGCAACATCTTTACATTTATAATGTGAAGAATTTGAATTTAAATCAAATTGATAATCACAAGTGGATAAATCACAATAAAAACTTTCCATTTCAGCAATCCAAAATTGGAAATTACATTGATTTTTAGATTTATCACAACTAAAAGTAACTTGAGGTTTTTTACCATTCAAAATTTCCACAATTTTCTTATTTGTAACATCACACATTTGATGAAATTTATTAACTAGCATACCATTTTTATAACAAGTACCAGATAAACCTTCAGGCATGAATGCATCACAAACAGAATCTTGTTGACAAACATTACAGTTAATACCACCCCAACCATCTTCACAATCACAACTATCACCTTTTCTAATTGGTCTATGATCATTATTTGAATCGTCATTAGTTAACCCACCACATAAAGGTTCAGAACAATCTTGACCTCCAAACCCATCAATACATTCACATTGACCATTGAATTCATTACATTTAGAAAACTGTTTACATTCAAATGCTGGTAGCATACAATTGAAGCATGGAGGACATTTATCATCTTCGAAAATATCTTCACCATTTGCCATTTTAACGGAGTTGGTCATTAATGAAGGTTGAATAGATTCACCATTTAAAAAAGTCTCTTTAGCAAAAGTTGGTACCACTATGAGTGCACATATTATAGGCACAAGCTTCAGCTTCATATTGAACACTTTTAGACTCGAATTTGACTTGTATTAACCCCTTTATTATCTTCTGTAAATTGTATGGCAAACTGATCAAATATGGAGTATAATCAACCCCTTAATAAACAGCAATTCCTAGCACTTAATCTTAATTAAAAACCAACCACAAGTTCTTTGAGACAATTATGACACAACTTATTAGCAAGCTTTCAGTAGTTGATGATTAAATAAAACAAATTCTTTGCAATTGAGATTTACAATAGAATGGTGTCAAATTAAAATTGGTTTCTTCTCACTAAAATTTAAAAAGAAACAAATTCCTCGATAAGAAGCAAAATTCGCGAAATTAATTAAAGGAAACATGGGGAGGTGTTCGGATGTAATGATTATCTAGTACATCAGTACACCATTCATATAAACTATTCATTTTATATTATTTATGGATTGTATGTAAATGGCTCTGTGATCTCCAAATGTTCGAGTACATACGCTTTCAATAACAAATTCCAACGGTTAACAGCTTGTAAATCAACATTATGGAAATTATCTTTCTTTCTATGCCATTGTTTAGGGAATCTTGAAGGTATTAAATGCAAAACTGGAACACCTGCTTTTAAAAATGGTAAATGATCATCTTCCATGGTTACTTGAGGCACGATGAACTCATCTTGAACCACATTTAAATATTTTGATTGATATGAATTATCATATAATGAAGGGAAATTTTCAACTAATCTATTCTCTAATAACGTTAAATCATTATAATTATCATGTGTCTCTGCAAAATAACTTGGAACTTGATTTGATTTGGGATCTGGTGCACCCAATAAATCTAGGAGAATTAACAATTCAATATCTTTAATTTTAGCTTCATGGTGCCATTTTTCATATAAATGACGAGCTCCATATATAGAATCAGTAGGTGACCATTTTTCAAAAGCTTCTTCACCATCGAAAAATATAAATTTTAGACCAAGATTCATATCATATGCAAAATCTTGGAAATGTAAATCTAAAACTTGAGATAATGATTCTGCTATATCTAATAAAATACCACATGATACTGCACTATCTATAGCACCAATGAAACCTTTTGGTTTCAATAAAGTATCATAATGTGCAGCAAGTACCAAGTACTTGCCCTTGTTGGAAAATGATTTAGGTTTTTTAGAAACAATGATATTTGTAAAATTATAACCTCGTTCTTGGAAATTATCCAATTCAATTTCCCATGGGATCTCGGATCTTGATGTTAAGTTGTTGAAATGGTTCAAAATATAATCTTGTACCTCAATTGAGTTCTTAGACCCAGGTACTCTAGTCTTGTTGAAATGTAAGAAATGGTTTAATTCATCAGTATTGTTTAAATTTAATCGATTAGTTGACATTTGACTTTGTAGTTGTTTAAAATTCACTGGGATTATTTCATCGTACCCGCAAACAATCTGGAACAACGACCCCAGCACCATAAGCACAAGCACAAACTGCGGTACCACTGAGCACCTCACTGAACAATTCACCAGCCATACCATTGTCCAACCTATTTGATCTCTTTGACACTCAACCAAGATCTAACCGAGTCAAGTTTAGTTTCAGCCCTGACAAAATGGCCAGTATTGGCTCCTGGTTAAATTGACACATTTTCGCGCTGCTTTTTTTGTTTTGTTTTGATTTTGGAATTTTTGTTTATTAAAGTCAATTGATTTTTCCTACTGCAAAGTTCAAATTCATCAATCTCAGAGAAGAAGCGACCTGGGCGCTAGTGGTGATATCAGAATACCAGAGAAGCTGCCCACCATGAATAGTGATATGCTTCCAGAGGACTTGCTGGGAGGCAAAATCATGTCTTTCCCACCAGAAGATCCCGTGGAGGTTGAGACCCTTCAACAGGACACAACTGCTAATGGTATTAATACAGCTAATGCTGCCACTGCTGCTGCTGCTACAACTACAACTACAATCACACCTGCTAGAGCAAAACCACTATACAACAAGAACGATAGCAATGCAGAGGCTAACAGTAAGAGAATCAATGAGAACTTGTTCATGAACCTGAACAATCCCGCTGTTGCTGAAGATCAAATACATTTACCTATCCAAGAATCAATTGCTCCACCTGTTGTATCAGTATCAGAAGCAAATTCCATACATTCATCAATAAAATCATCAGTTCCTTCAATAGTGACAAACGTATCTGTGAACCCACCACCAACCTCAACATCGGCAACTGGAACTAAAGCTATTAGTACCACTGGTGGTCTTAGATTAAGTTCATTTGCTCCAACTTCAACTCTATCAGGAATACCCAGTAATGTTAACATTTCACAACAAAATTCTTCTCGTCCACCTTCAGTTATAAATAATAGAGGTATGATTCCAAATAGAAATCCAAATAATTTCACTTCACCAGAATTTGAAAATAAAACATTACCAATAACTATTAATCGTCATAATTATCAACCATCTCATCATAGATTTGATGATGATAATGCATCACAGATTAGTACTTCATCTCTTGCAACTTCATTTTCCAAAAGTTTCCTCTTTGGGTTTTTAAATAATAAAAAAAAAGATGCAATGAAATCAGGTGGATTAATATCAAAAGAATATTGGATGAAAGATGAAACTTCAACTGAATGTTTTAGTTGTGGTCGTTTATTTACAACTTTTAGAAGAAAACATCATTGTAGAATATGTGGTCAAATTTTTTGTGGTGCTTGTACAACTTTAATTCCTGGTGAAAAATTTAATCATAATGGTAAAATGAGAGTTTGTAAAACTTGTTTAAGTTTTGCTACAGAATACAACGATTCAAGTGATGAATCTTCAATAATGGAGGAAAGTTATATTGAACCAACACATAATCATGATAATAATAATAATATTAATCAACTAAACATGGATCAAGAAAGTATCTTACCTTCAACTCCAATTGATGATAATAATATGCCATTTGTTACTGCTCCAACCCCACCACCAAGAATGGCAATTCCTGCAACTCGTAAAGGTGAATCTGTGGAAATCCCAGTATCAAGATCTTTTAATTCAAGAATTTCTTCAATTCATACTACAAATTTTGGTAGAAGGAAAGGTTTAGAAAGAAAATTAACTTATCCAACGTATCAAAGAAATAATGGTGATCAACATCAACATCAACATCAACACTATAATAACTTGAACGGTACTAATGGTCATTCAAGTTTATTAAGACATAATACAGAAACATCATTTGCAGATTATGTTAATTCTCATCATTCAAATAGTACTTTTAATTTTAGTACAAATGAACATCAAGAAGATACAGAAAATAATTTTGATTCACCTTCAACAGATCATCAATTTTCAGATTCTGAAGATGAAGGTTCAATGTCAATTTATGCTGCTTTACATTTAGATAAATCTGATATACCAGATCAATCAAGAGTTGATGTTAGAACAAGATTATCAAGAAGTAATACAAGGTCATTAGATCGGGCTCAAGCGTCATTATTAAGAATGAAGAATAGAAGAAAAAGTAAAAGTATTGCACGTCCTCAAAATCAATCACTGTATAGATTTAATGATTTTGATTTATATAATCCAAGTTCACCTGATGCTTCAGCTTCATTAAATTTAATAACTACAAAGGAAAATATAACCCCAACAAAATACACTTCAGAATTAAATGATGTTTGTATACTTCATTTGAAAAATTTACTATTTCAAGGCTTAAAAGATTCCACTGTGGATAATATAGATGAATGGACAAATGTTTTAATGCCAATGCTTAGATCTATTGAAACTGTGGATTATAATGTTCGTGGTGGTGATAATATGGATATAAGGCAATATATTAAACTTAAAAGACTTGCAGGTGGTAATTTATCAAGTTGTGAATCAATTGATGGTGTTATCTTTTCTAAGTTATTCTCATTAAAATCAATGCCTAGACATATATCAAACCCAAGAATTGCATTAATTATGTTCCCATTAGAATATATGAGAACTGAACAACATTTTATGAGTTTAGAACCAGTGTTGGCTCAAGAAAAGGAATATCTTAATAAATTAGTTGGAAGAATTGTTGCATTAAATCCAGATGTTGTCTTTGTTGGTGCTAATGTTAGTGGACTGGCTCTACAATTATTAGACGAAGCTGGTATCGCAGTTGCTTCAAACATGAAACCTCAAGTTATTGAGAGAATTTCAAGGATGACTCAAGCTGATATAGTGATAACTATGGATAAATTAGCTTTAAATCTTAAACTTGGTACTTGTGATTCACTTGATGTGAAAACTTATGCCTATAAAAACACTACAAAGACTTTTATGTTTTTAACTGGTTGTGAACATAGGCTTGGTTGCACTTTATTAATTAGAGGTGGTGATAAAGAACTTTTACGTAAAATTAAAGATGTTACTGAATTTATGGTTTATGCTACTTCTAATTTAAAATTAGAAACTGCAATGTACAGAGATAATTTTATGTATTTATCACAGGACTTTTATAATAAGATGGTTAATAAATCTTCAGAAGAAGTTACAGGGTTTGGTGATTCATTTTTAAACAGATTCAATAAAAGGTTATTGTCTACATCACCAACTGTTCAATTTGATGCACCATTTTTATTAATTAGAACAAGACAAATTCAAAGAAAACTACAAGATGCCCAAAAGGAGTTTGAAGAATTAAGTACGCAACAAATTTCGAAAGATGTCCATTTAGCTAATTTGTCAAATGAGATTGGTTCACGTAATTTATCAGATGGTGAAATTGTTAAAATTTTTGATTACGTTTCAAAAGAGAATATTTCGTCATTAGAAGAAAGTTTTAATATTAGATCAAGACAATGGGAACTTTTCAGTTCATTTGCACCAGATTTATTAGATCCATTAGCTCACCAAAATATCATATTTCTTTATTCAATGGTTTCTACTAAAACTGCAACACCATGTATTGGACCTCATCCACTGCAAATTGATTACTATTGGGATAATGATATGACTATTGGTCAATACGTTGAACATTTGATTTACTCTGCTAATACTGGATGTTCAGAAGGTTGTGGTGGGTTACTACAAGATCATTATAGAAGTTATGTTCATGGTCATGGTAAAGTTGATGTTATGGTTGAAAAATTTCAATCAAGAATACCTACACTGCAAAATGTTATTTTAACTTGGAGTTTTTGTAAACAATGTGGTCATACATCACCATTTTTACCAATGAGTGAAACAACCTGGAAATTTTCATTTGGTAAATATCTTGAATTATTATTTTGGAGTAAAAAACATTCTTCAACAAATTTAGGTAACTGTTCTCATGATTTTGCTAAAGATCATATCAAATATTTTAGTTTAAATGATTTGACCGTAAGAATGGAATATTCAACTGTTGATTTATTGGAATTGATTGTTCCAAGAGCAAAAGTTTCATGGAGACCAAATATTGATATAAAATTAAAAATTGAACTGCGTGACTTCATTTTAGAAAAAGCTACAAACTTTTTCAATAGTGTTTTAGCAAGATTAACAAGAGTTAAAGTTGATAGTACTTCAAATGAAAAAATGGATGCTGGTAATCAAAAAATTGAAGAATTAAAAGCAAAAGCACATCAAGAACAGAATGATGTTTTACAAATGTTGAGTGCAATTTATGATTCTACAGAAGCTATTGAACATTTACAATTAAACTCTGTATTAAGATATGTTCAAGATTTAAGTGTTGAATGGGATTTAGAGTTTACTGAATTTGAAAAAAATTTCTTACCATCTGAAAAAGATATTGCACGTATTACAACATTACAATTGAAAAGATTTTTCTTGGATAATAATGATGAAAGACCATCTGCTTCACAATCAAAAACTGAAAAAGATACAACAACCACATTAAATGATGATAGTGATGATGAACAGCATTTTCAAAATGAAAAGAAAGATGGAAACAAACAAGAAAGTTATGAAAATATTCAAAAGACTAATGGAACTAGAACCGTTTCTGATAGCTCAATTATTGGATCTAATAATTTCAATACAAGCGCAACCAATAGTCCAAAACCAAGTAAAGTTCTGGAAAAAGTCAATAGAATGGAGAAATTACTTAGTGAACAAGTTGATCCAAGAAGAGTGTTGTCTACAGGAAGTTCAGATAGTCAGAAATTGAAAAATTCAAGTGTACCATTGCATCATCATCCTACACCACTTCCTCATCATACCAAAACCTTATCCAATGTTTCTATGGGATTTACTACACCTATTAAACCTGATAATAAAAATGGTTATTTTGATCTGGAAACCAAAGCTTTATCACAAGGTCATACACCACTGAATGAGAGAGACTTCAGTAATTTATCATCATCTCCAAATAAACCAGAATTTTTGAAAAATGGTAAATTACCAAAACCAAAGTTTGGAATTAGTACAAAAGATCTTGAAATTCAATTAAAAGAAGGACGCCAAAAGAGTATGAGTAGTAATAATTCAAGTTTAAAAAGTTCAGATCAAGCTAAAATTGAAGATAGTAAAGTTTCTAAATTAGCAAATTATTTTGATCAAATCCATTTTGAAACATTATCCAAAGAATTTGAAATGCAACGTGAAAAGGAAAGACTGAAGCTGATTCAAAATAGATATAAAGCTGCCCCAGTTGCTTCATCTAAACCAATTGTTGAGGTTTATAAGAATGTTAGAGATGCGGTTGAAGAAGAAGATCAAGCTGCAGAACAAGCAACTGACGAATTTGGTAAGAAGACCTTGGAAAATTCAGAAAAGGAAATTAAGAATAAAAGTAAAGTATTGGAAGATGGTATAAAAGAAGAGAATATGAAGACTGAAATTCCTCAACCTGAAAGAGTTTCATTAATGAAAACTTTAACAAATTTCTGGGCTGATAGATCTGCAACTTTATGGAAACCATTAGAATATCCTATTTCACCAACAGAACATATATTTGTTGATTCGGATGTTGTTGTTCGTGAAGATGAACCAAGTTCATTGATTGCATTTTGTTTAAGTTTACCAGATTATGATCAAAAAATTGATGTTTTAAGACAAAATAATCCAGGAAATCCTTCAACAGCTCCAGCACAAACTTCTTCATCAACCACAATACCGCAACAACAAAATCTCAGTGCTAATACCTCAACATTTGAAGGCAAATCACAAAATAGATCTACTAAAACTGAACCACCAATGAATAAATCTGAAGATCTGGAAATTGCAATGCTTAAAAAAACTGCAGTGCATTTAAAATATCAATTTCAAGAAGCTGGTACATTATTATCATGTAAAATATTCTTTGCAGAGCAATTTGATGCATTCCGTCGTAAATGTGGATTAGAAGATAATTTCATTCAAAGTTTATCAAGATGTATTAAATGGGATTCAGCAGGTGGTAAAAGTGGATCAGCATTTTTAAAAACATTAGATGATCGATTAGTTATTAAAGAATTATCAAATGCAGAATTAGATTCATTTGTTAAATTTGCACCAAGTTATTTTGAATATATGGCACAAGCATTATTTCATGATTTACCAACAGTTATTGCTAAAATTTTTGGATTTTATCAAATTCAAATTAAAAATCCAATTAATGGTAAAAATATTAAATTAGATGTTTTAATTATGGAGAATTTATTTTATAATAAAAAAACATCAAGAATTTTTGATTTAAAAGGTTCAATGAGAAATAGACATGTTGAAAAAACAGGTAAAGAAAATGAAGTTTTATTAGATGAAAATATGGTTGAATATATTTATGAAAGTCCATTATTTGTTCGAGAATATGATAAAAAATTATTAAGAGCATCATTATGGAATGATACATTATTTTTAGCTAAAATGAATGTCATGGATTATTCATTAGTTATTGGTATTGATGATGAATCTAAGAATTTAACAGTTGGTATAATTGATTGTATTAGAACATTTACATGGGATAAAAAATTAGAAAGTTGGGTTAAAGAAAAAGGGTTAGTTGGTGGTGGTACAAAAGAACCAACGGTTGTTACACCAAGACAATATAAGAATAGATTCCGTGAAGCTATGGATAGATATATTTTAATAGTACCTGATTGTTGGTACCAAGGAAGCAGTCAACAATGAGAACCATTAGAGATACCCCATAATAATTGTATATAGAAGTACAAATTAACGAACGTTTATGATATTAATTTAATCAAGTAAGGAATATATTCCTTATCTATTTTACGCCAAAACCCCTTGATTTCCCTTTTGGTAAACATGTCGTTATAATTGCGCAAAAAGGCTAAAAATAAAATCGCAACAGTACGAAAATGTCAAACTTACAGCCGAGCGTGTGGTGATAGCAATTTGCGAATAACGAATAACTGCGCCAAAAGTTGAAAATTAAAGGCGATAGTGCGATAACTAGCTGAACACATGAAAGTTTACGCCAAAAATAAAATAGTGTTTATACAACAAACAGAAAACTTTTAAAACATCAACAAATCACTTTTTGCTTTCTCAATAAAACAATTAAATCCTAAACAATCGCTATCAATTCTGTCGCTTCTTTTACTGAGCTATCAAACATAATTGTCAGAGATCATTTATCACAGTATTACCAGATCAGGTCAGATTTGCATTCACATTCTCATCGCGTCAAATCAATTCCAGAACCCACAGTGTTTAAGGAGACTGAAATTATTTTCATCAGCTAGAACATTCAAATAAAGACCAATTCAGACACAGAAAACACGTCACCACTTCGCTAGAAAGATTTAGACACAGCGCTACAAGTTTCAAGAAGATATTTACAAGTTTTCAATTCGCTTTTAAGCACAAGTTTATATTCAGTGTTGGTGTTTTCGTTATCAAGCGCTTAATCAAGCCTCACCATTTTTTTTTTTTGTTTTTCTGAAATCAAATATTTGGTCGCGAATTTGTTTGGTATCCATAGAAACGATTCTGATTTTGATTTTGATTTGAAAGTACAAGTAAAAAAAACAAAAAGACTTGTTACAAAAGTACACAATTAAAAAGGAATCATTCCAGAACAACTAAACAGAGTTATATATTAACAGAGGTGTATCATTTCCCCCTAGATCACTCGTTCTTATCAACAAAATAATAAAAAAAACCACACTCTCTTCACTCAATAAAGTTATATTATGGCTTTGGCTGCTTTTGGGTGCTCAACAGCTGTTGTGGTTATAAATGCCATTTCACTAGCATTCTTGATTTTAGCTACCATCACAGCTCCCGTTGTGACTTCATTAGGATTAGCTGAAGCAGATGGTAATAGATTTGGTGTCTTTGGTCATTGTTCAACCGGTGGTTCATCTTGTTCAACTGCTACTTTCCCTTATGATGCTGTATCTGTTGGTCAAACAAATGATTGGAAAATGGATGATAATGCAAGAACAACTTTATCCAAGATCCTTATTGTTGCACCAATTGCTGCTGGTTTAACATTAATCTCATTCATTTTCAACTTTTTCGCTCATTTCAAAGCTTTTGGTTCTTCATTAGCATTTTATTTGATTGGTTTTATCTTTACTTTATTGGCATTTTTCGCTTCAGCTGTGATTTGTATTGTTACATTTTTATTGTTCTTCCCACATGTTACTTGGTTAGCTTGGTTATTAATTCCTGCAACTGTCTTAAATCTCTTTGCAGTTCCATTAGTTTTCTTTGCCTTGAGAACTACACCAAGAAAATTTGATGATGAAGAAGAAGATGAAGAAACTGAAGATAAAAATTTAACAGATTTAAGTGATGGTGATAATTTTAGATCAAATAATGAATTTAAATTAGATGATTTCACTGGTCCACCAAATGCAGGTTTTACAAATAATAATTTACATTCCACTTCATCAAGTGAAAAAAACATTCCTGTTTCAAGTTTAAAAGTTATTACAAATGATTCATCTTCAATTAATGATCAAAGATCAGGTTTAGATAAGGCTACTATTCATGATTATTCAACTAATAATGTTCCAACCAAAAATTTCAATTATAATGGTAAAATTCAAACTCAACATTATGGTAACCCAGAAGGTACACCAAATCTTGTTTCTTCACAAAATTATGGTAGAGGTGGCGCTATTCGTTCAGAAGCTCCTGCTTTTAAACCACAATCAGCTAAACCAGATTATAGTACTGCTGCTACATCTTTATATCCAAGAAGTGCATATCAATCAACACCTCCTCAATCTGCAAGATTCCAACAAAGACCTGTTCAACCACCACAAAGAATCCAACAACCTGGTTATCAAAGAAGTCAACAAGGCTCGGTTTCATCTGGTGGTGCGCCATCAAATGGTCCAAATAGTGCACCGGTCTCTGCACCAGTCTCTGCTCAAGCTCCAGTTACCAACTCATCTGTTTATGATGAACAACATGGGTTAGAAGGTCAAAATGTTTTAGGTAACTCAAGACATGGTTCTTCAGCTAACTCAGATGATTATGACAATGAATTAAATGATAATGATTCAGATTTCACTTCAGTATCCCAAAGAGCTGTTAATCCACGTTATTATCGTGGTGCTAATGCAGCTCCAACTTTATTCCCAAATCAAGAACAACAACAGTTGGTCTCACCTGTTAATGCTCCAGCTCCAGCTCCAGCTCCAATTTCAACCGCTGCTGCTAATGCCCCACAGCAAAACTATTATCCATCAAATGTTGGTTCTAGACCAGTGATTACACCTCAACAACAATCATTCCCAGATCATACTTCTTCATATTATAGTCCAAGTAATGGTGGTCCAGTTTCAGGTCAATTCTCACCACAACAATTTAACAGTCCATCATTCTCTGGTCAAATGCCTTCCCAACCCCCACAACAACCAAGAGTTCAAAGACAAAATACATCTGATGCATTATTATCTACTAATCCAGATTTTATGATTTCAGGTCCAGCATTCCAAAAACAAAATAATGTTAAGAGAATTAATCCAGCAAATACCCCAACATATCGCCCAGCTTATAAAAGAAATCAACCTGGTGCTAATAAAATATCAGCAGCTTCATTAGCTGGTGATAGTCCCTATAATTTTAAATGATTTTATAAAGGTTTAATTTATAAACTTACTTATAATTTGTTTTTATATTTTACAAAAAAGGATTATAAAGAAAAAGTTCACAAAGATGGAGTTTTAATTTACTTGTGTGTTTTTGTTCTGATGAATTAGCTCAAAGGTAATATGAGCTAATTCAAGTTTTATATCGGTTCTTGTTTTTCGAATATTTTCACTTCTTTATATATCAAAGGGGTATTTCTTTCTATTGTTCAGAAAGTGAAAAACAGAAATCCTCTGTTTAGTATTATTGTTTCATATCCACTTTATTTACTTTTTGTTTTTACTTTTATATTAATTGTTACTAGTCTGATATGTTATTTAGATTTTTACTTGATTTTAAGTTTTGTTTTTTATTTTTTTGTTCTTATGTTAATATTTATTTGAAGAGAATATAAATCTTTAAATTATTTAAATAGCGTTCTAGCCATATTATCACCATGAGCTAAAAAAAATATACTAGTATGTAAATCAAAATTCATATTTCGTTTATCATATTAGCATGAATCTATTATTTATAATATCAGTATCCACAATTTTATCATCATTTAAATTATTTTCTAAATTTTCCATCTCAGTTTTATCCTTTTCTGGTATATTTTCAACATCATTATGTGACGGTTGATCCACAGGTTTCTTATCAGCATCAGAATTGTTATTATTATTATCACTATCATTTGGAGGTGGAGTAGTAGGTTTGGGACTTGAATTTGTATTTTTATGAGGTTTTAAAATAACAATCATAAATAATAAAAACACAATTAATGATAATAATAAAATAATTTTACATTTTTGAGTTCTTTTTTGATAATGCTGAGCTCTATTTAATTGTTGTGATGCATTTTGTAAATCAACTTTTGTATTTTCTAAATTATAATCAATTCTATCCAATATTGTACCTTGATCAATAACCATATTTTGCATTTCTTTGAAAATAGCTGAAACTTCTAATACACCTTGAGCTAACTTGGTAATTTCTTGTTCTCTTTGTCTAATCATTGAATCATTTATATTAGATTTTTGTTGTAAAATTGATGAAGATTCTTTAATTGCCTCTTTTGAATAAGATTCTAGTTCTTCAGTTTCATCAATTGCAGGATTATAATTTGAATTATCAATTTTATTTTGAGTTTTATTTAAACTTGGTAAATCTTGGAAATCATCTTTTTTTAAAAATTTAATATAATTATTTTGTAATTTTCTAAAAGTTGATGATAATTGTTGAATTTTTAAAGCATAATTTTTTTGCATATTTTCAATCATATTTAAATCATCAGCTTTCAATTGATTCCCAGGTTGTCTTTTAATAGCTTCAAATTTCTTAACCAAATTATTACATTGGAAAAATTTAGTCGTTATTGAATAATTTAATTTTTCAATTTGTTCTTCATCAATTGTTCTATCATTAAAACCTGGTAATAAATTTTTCTTGTATAAAGCATTCAATTTATCGATTTGATCATTTATAAAATCTAAACTCTCATCAATCTGTTCAGATGTATCCAAAATAGAAGGAGGTAATGTCACAAGTTCAATATTTTCACCATTTAAATGATTCCCCTTGGTATTATTATTATTACCATCACCACCTATAAGTTCTTCCTCTTCTTCCAATGAATCAAATCTCGAGCTGGAAAGTGGACCACTATGATGTGGATAAGTTCTTCTGTATGAAATGAATAAGTTTGTTCTATCTCTAAACATCTTTTTATGTAATTGATCTGATTGGAACTAATCTTACGAGCTTTTGATAGCAATTCCAATATCAACAATCGGAAATGACACCAAATTCAAAAAATCCCAGAATCGTCGGAAAAATGCATGGAATTATTTAGTCGCGAAAAATCTGTATCGGAAATGTGTAAAGGCCATAATCTATATACAAAATTCATATTTTATTCATTAAAAACGTACATTTAAAAGTCTATGACATTCGTAAGATAATGGCAAAGATCATTATGATTAGCAGGATAACTAAGAAGTGACTGAATGGAAAAAAAGGGGAAAAAAATCAACAAACTAAAACGTAATAAGAGAAAATGATAATAAAAAAAAACACTTGTAGTCTAAATTTTAAGTCTTACTCTTTTGTATTTCTTTTGGAATCTTTTCTATGCAATAATGTACCCATCAAGTTAACAAATGATGCTGATTTATTATGTTGTTGTAATCCACCAACTGAAACATGTGTTGGAATTGTTGGTGAACTTTCAGATGGCGATGTACTATGTGGTCTAACTGGTGGTGTTGATGGTGATAAAGGTGTTAATGAACCAAAATTACTTGATGATAAATATCTATTTTTACTTGGAGATCTTGAATAATTTAATGGATTTGAATTATTTGATGCTGATGATGATGGTAAATGTGTTTGTGATGCATTTCTTGAAACTGATGGTGATGAAGCATTTGATGAATTTCTTGAACGATCATTATTATTTGCACTTTGTAACCCACTATTAATACCACTACCATCACCTCTTAAATTGGATAATAATGCAGTACTTTGAGCTCTTGAATTACTTAATGATGAAGATTTTAAATGAATTGCTCTTGGTCTTGTAACTTCTGGATCTTCATAATCTGGTGGGACATAAGCTGGTGATAAATTATCTGGTGTAAATGATCTCATTGCAGTTTGATATGAAGGAACTTGTGATAAACTACTTGAATCCCAATCTTTTATAGATGGACTTCCACTTCTAACTGAACCTGGTAAATTTGTATCAGAATTAACTCTTGAAATATGATCTGGTGAATGAACACCTGGTGATATAATTCCATTATTTTTATGTGGCCTTATACTGAAATAATCAGTTTCACTTAATGCACCTGTTGGTGTTTGACTTAATGACAGTTCATTAACAGGTGTTTGAATAGCATTATTTCTTGATCTTCCACCACTTGCACTAAATGACAGACCTCCTTCATTATCATCATCATCTTCTTGTATGATTGGAACAGTATTATTATTATTTGATAAACCAATATCTGAAGATCCTGGTGCTGAAGATCTTGCTAAAGAATCTAATGAAGGTTGAGATGTCATTTCAGCTTGACGTTGTAAATGTAATTTTCTTAAATTTTCAGTTAATTTACCCATACCTCCAGTATCTGATAATGATTCACTTGTATTGATACCATTTGGTGTTCCAGTACCTGGTGTAACTGAACCTGAACCATGAGGAGTATCTTCAATTGGAATTTCATTCCACAGTTTATCATAAATATGATTTTCATAATTTGGTGGTGCCATTCTTTCAGCATCTGTTGTTAAATTTGTTGAACTTAAATTTGCTGGAGTAGTTTCAGGATCTGGTGCAAATATAACGTCATTATCATCAAATTCTTCATGATCAGATGGAATATCAGCAAATGAATTTGATCCATCACTTGCAATTGATAATTTTCTTTCTCTTTCGACATTTTTAACACCTAATGCAACAAATGGAGAAATAAATAAAATTAAAGGTAATGAAGCTCTTAATTCAGAAACATGACCATCTGGGTTAATTAAACCAACAACAAATTTTAATTTATGACGAACTTTAATATTATTTTGAACATCAACATCTTGTGTACATTTTGATAAACTTGCCGGGATTGGAATATGACTATTAATTTCCCATTTATCTTCAGTAATTTCTTGATTTGTACTTGGTACAACAATTTCATGAATTGTACGTTCACCAGAATGTGGAGGACCATAAGAACCTGCACAAGAATAATATTCACTTAATGTAACTTTAACTTTACCTAATTTCAGACCTTTTGCCAAAGGGACTAATAACATATGAATTGGACAACTTGAACCAATAGCCACAGCTCTTGATGGGATACTTATAGTATATTCAACTTTTTTTGGCCAAGTATTATCAACAGCCATAGTTTCTGATAATTCCACAGAATCTGGAGTTAAAGTTCTTACAACTCTAACATGTTTTTTAGAAATTAAATCATTTGAAAATCTACCACGATCAATATTTGCTTGTAATTTATAAACAACCGTGGCACCTGGTAAACCTTCAACACTTTCAATAATATCACCTGGTAAAACAGCACTAAATGGGAATTCATAATTGCCCTGAACTAACGTATAACTATTTTGTGAAGAACTCAGACTTGTTGAAGAACCAAAACTTGCCAGATTTGTTGAAGATTTTGATTTTTTACCATAACTTTTCAAAGAACTTGAAGAACTATTTGCAGAACTATTTTTTCTTGTTAACATTGGAGATCTATTACTATTATTATAATTATCATATAAATTATTAAAATATTGTTGAAATTCATAACTATCCCAAGAATGTTCAAATATTCTTTTTTCATAACGATAAGGTTTTTTCAATACAGAACCTCTTTGAGTTTCATAAGAATTTGTCCATTTTAATCTTAATGTAGCATAAAGTTTTAAACTTAATTTTTTAATAGATAATGGTTCTAAAACTGATAAAACAATTGTACCATTCAGGAAAACTGATGAAGCTTCATGTGGTGAACCTTTAATCACCAATACATCATGATCAGCACCTTTTAATCTAATATCAAACAATGAAGTTTGTTTACTAGGATTGTTGTTTCTACCCAAGAGCACCATTATAAAGCAAACACTTGATTAACTTTGATGATATATAACGTTGAACCTTCAATTCAATTCCCTTTCCAAATACAAGCTTTGGTATGTGTTCAATAATACTCCCGATACAATAATGAGGTTGCTATCTCTGTGAATCTGTGTAACTTTGTGTACGTAACCACTTGAAATTGAATTGATCACTTGTGATTATATGAATTCTTCAACTTGAACTGATCAACCTGTCAAAACTATTTCAATATTAATAAAAGATTAAATAATTGTCGGCTTTGCAAAGCTTTTGTAAATTTACTGAAAATGGTTTTTGCCCTTATAAGACTTTCCTTTTTATGGCTGGCGAAAACCCGCGAAAATTAAAATTTAAAGGACCACGAAAATCGGAATTTTTAAAAGATCCGAGGAAATTGTTATGGGACACAGGGGTATAGACTTTTTTAAATTAAATTTCAATTCTACACAGGTGTTTTTATTAAATATAATACGTCATGTTCATAAAATTAAATAGTTTGGTAAAAAAGATGAAAAAAGAAAGTTAAAATATACGTTAAATTAAAAGCAGCAGTATTGTATCACACCCAAAAATCTCATTGATTATCTGTAAGGGAATATTGATTTAAAAGAATACAATCACCCCCACGTTCAGGATCTAATCCATAATTATAGAAATAACCTTCAGAACTAACAACAGAAACATGAATCAATTTTAAATAGCCATCATCTTGACTAGTTTCACTTATATTTGATGTATTAACATTATTATTACTAAATTTCAATTGATCATTATCTTCATCATTATCAATATTATCATCTAAATTTGATTGATCTGTAAATACAGAAGGTAATCCAGATTTTGGAATTTGTAATTCTTTCCCCACAGAAACAATATTTTTAATACCTGAAGAAGCTGGAACTTTTAATGATGCAAAATGTCTACTTGGTTCAAGCATTGAAGTTAATTTTGGTGGTAAAAATGTACCAATTTTTTCTGCAGCTTTTTTACCAATATTTTGTGAAGATTTTCTAATCATTCTACCAACACTTCTTCTAGAGATATCAATTAATGGTTCAATTCGATCTTCTGTAATATCATTACTATTTACTGAATCATATGAAGCATTTGATATTCTTCTATTTTTGGAACTTGATTGACTTGCTTCACTACCTGAACTTTCAACTCTTTTCATTATATTTTTAGGATTTTCAAAACTTGATGGATCTAATTCATCTGAAACTGCATATTCACCAGTATTTTGTTGTTGATTATTATTGTTGGTATTTGATTCATCATCTGAACCTAATTTAAAAATATGAACAGTTTCAGTAGCAGAACTTGCAGTTAAAAATTTATTATCTTGACTAAAACTCAATGAATAAATCTTGGTTGGATAAGTTCCTCTTCTAAATTGATATAATTTAACACCTGTTTCAATTGAAAAAACTCGTACTATAGTTCCCTTATCTGAAGCTGTTGCTAATAATGTACCATCATGACTTATTGATAAAGCAGCTAATGTAGTTTTATGAGCTTCCACAACAACAAGAGGTTGTAAAGTTTGAGCATTGAAAATAATAACATCACCATTTCTATTTGATTGATTTGAATTTTTACCATTCAAATTATTACTATTTAATCCAGTTAATTCATTATTAATAACATTCCCATTATTATTTGATGATAAATTCAGTCCATTAACTCCAGTTGATGTATTTGAAAAAATTGTATTAATCTTTGGAGGTGAAGGATAAGCTAAGAAATTATTATCAATAGTTGGACTTAATGCAATTAAACCATTTGGATTTGGTGAAGTTTCAATTGTATGTAATAATTTCATATTATTTATATCATAAATATAAATTTGTTCTTCTAATAATACAATTAATCTTGATTTATTTAATTTAACACTTAGAATAGTTGTTGGGAATGTTAATTCACATATAGTGGAATGTCTCTTTGTATTTATAATTTTCAATCTTCTTGGAGTCATTGAAGGTTGATCACCAATACCAACAATAGCAATTAATGAAGTACAATAAAGCATTTCCACTATTCCAATACCACCATCTAATCTTGAATAACATTTCCCAAAAGGTTCACAATTGAATATTTTATAACCTTTATCAGTACCTATAGATATACAACTACCATCTTGATTAAAATTTATAAAATTTAAACTTTCAGTATTAGTTTTAGTTGGAATTGTTTGAATTGAATTCAATGAATTTTGATGTTGAGGAGACATTGTTTTTTGGAATGACATTGTGTTTGTCTCTTATCTTGTATATATGTTGTTGTTGTTGTTTCTTGTTGTTTGCTTTTGTTGTTGATACTTATCTGTTGTTATTATACAGTTTTAGCAAGTGGCATAATCTAACACGATTCAAATTCTCTTTTATACCCTGAAATTTTTGAATGGAATCTTTCACTTTTGAACAACCTTGTCTTTTATTTCTACCTGATGTGTCACAATTCTTTGAGTGTAAGGCCTGATTTCTTGCAGGAATAAGTTTGTTATGAATGTGACTAAAATACCTTATTAACTTGCAGATCAATTACCAACTAGCACAAATGAAATCTGGTGATAAACGGGACCCTCTCTGCAACGCGCTTAACTCTGTTTAATTGTCTGTGAGATTCTCTTCCTGAACTATCCTAAAACCCTGTTAAACACTGATCTTAATCGTTGCAATATTGATCAAAATTGAATCTTTTTGATTGTTTCTGATTTCAACGTGTTTGATTGTTTTACATTTCATTTTCATTTTCATTTTATAAGCTGTGGGAAATTTCCAGCCCTCGGAAGTGGGAAATATGAACATGTGACACAATTGGTGAATTCCGAGCAAGTTTATATTACTTTTACAAAATTATAATTTAAAAACACTTAAAAACTCATATATTTAAAAAGGATTTGATGATTTAGGTGAAGATGTGGAAGATGTTGAGGTACTGGTAGTGATATCTCCCTGAGAACACCAATTATTCACTGGTAAACAATTAAAATATTTACACCATGAACAATTACCACCTCCATTCTTAAAATTTAATATTAATCCAACAAACCATGCAATTATTAATACAAGTGCCACAATTCTAACAATAATCCAAATAATAAATCTATCTTTCCTTATATTTTGCATATGTTTAGAAAAAGATCCAAATCCTTGTAATCTTAAACCTCTTGTATGTCTTTTCAATCTAATAAATTTTGGATCATTCAACATTAATAAACCTAATAATAATCCACCAACAAATCCACCAATATGACAAAAATTATCTAATCCAGGTAATAACCCCAGGACAAGACACACAACCACTTCTAAAACTAATATAGAAATCATGAATCCATAATAACGAACTGTTGATCTATCTCTATGAAGAACAAAAATTAATAAATTAACTGCAATTATACCAAATAATGCACCTGAAGCTCCACTACTTGATATACCATCTTGTGCAAAATTAACACCCAATACATTCCCAGAAATTCCACTAACTAAATAAATAATCATATATCTTAATGTACCAATTTGTTTTTCCACATCTAACCCCATTGTACATTGTAATAAAAGATTAAATAATATATGAACAAATCCTGCATGTAAAAACATTGCACTTATTAATCTCCAAATTTGATTTGGTTCACCTTGGAAATTTTCTCCTAAATTACATAATTCTATTAATGAACAAACTTGTGTATCAGTTGTTGTTGAATTTGGACATGGCCATGAAAATTCATTTGAATCTGTTATACCTGATATGGAATGCATACAAGGTGCAAATCTTGATCCAAGATAAATTTGAACATTTGATGAAGGTCCTAACATTGGATTAAAATATGGTTTTGTTTGAAATGCTGAACCTGTTAAATTTTTCATTTTAACTAATTCCACAATGAAAATTATAATATCAATAATTGTAACAATTATAGTAAAATATGGGAAATTTATAATTTTATAACCTAATGGGATATTATTTTTTGTCTTATTATTATAAAATTTCTTATTATAATTTGGATCTTCATTATTATTATATAAAAGTGGTAAATTTGTATTTGTTGAATTCATATTATTATTATAATTTGTTGAAGATGGTATATCTTTTAAAGGTATATTATTTATAGAATCTTCATCATCTCTTATTATTTTGTTTCCATGATATTGATTATATTGACCATGTTGATTTTGTCTCATTGGATTTGCATTTTGGATGAATTGATCTCTTAAAGGTGAATATGATGTATCTGTAGTATTTGTAGCTTTAACAGGATCTGCTAATATGGATGAACGTTTTGGAGGTAATGGAGGTAATGAATGGAAATTATTATTCATTTTGTTTATGATAGTATAATCATGAAAAGATTGAGTTTATCTGAAGTGAATTTATATGTTTTGCTTCTTTTCAACTTATTATATCTTTTAAAACTAATTCAGCCTGGCAGTGTTCTGATCTAAAAACAGCGTGTGTCAGAATATGAAAAACGTAAATAATAAGATCTGGATTTTCAAAGAGTTAACACAATTCTTTTAAAACAGATGGTCTTATAGTACAAATCTTAAGCTTAGGGATCTTTTGCAATATTTAAAAGTCAATTCAAGTGTATAAACTTTCCAAATAGTTTAATCGAAATGGATCATAAATATAATCAGTAATTATCACAAATGCACCGTTAAAAAATTATAAAAACTAAAATAGAAAATTCGCAAATTTATACAAATTAGGTAATATTCAGGTACAAAACGCCAAACGCGAAACTAAGCAATTACCATAACAAGTAATAATCTCATTGCAAAACACGAAAATAACACGTAATTCGATCCAAATAAAGTGCAATTATTTCCTAAATAGGTACTAAAAATATAAAGTCTATGCTAAATATAAAAATATAATTAATTAAATCTTGTGCTATAAATATATAAATAGTAAACCTAAAAGCAAATCACATATCCTCAATTCTTTTCAAATAAATTTTCAATTTCTTCTAAGGAAACTCCCTGGGTCTCTGGAACTAAAAATAAAATAACAAAATATGCAACAAACATAAAACCTGCAAAGATAAACCCATAAGTATATCCAATACGATCTGTAATTATTGGTGTACAAAATCCAATGAAAAAATTAGACCCCCAATTAAAAGCTGTTGAAAATGCAACTGCATGACTCTTGATATGTAATGGATATAATTCACTAACAAGTACACTAACTGATGCACCCCAAGTTGGTGCAAAACTAACGAAAAAGAAACAAGTGAAAACAATCATTATAATTCCTGGTATTTTATTAACATCTGGATCTGTGGCTGTTTTATCAATTTTCAAAGTACCAACTAATGAAAAAACAAATAAAGGAATAAAACATCCAACTGCACCACATAATAAAGCAGTTTTACGACCATATTTTTCAACAAAATAAACACCTGGCATGGTACCAAAGAAATTAATTGTTGCAAGAATGATAAATGTAACATATGGATCATTAGCGCCTGCAAATTTAAATAATGTAGTACCATAATAGAAAAAATAATCAATACCACTCATTTGTTGAAATAACATCATTAATAAACCAATGAAAACTCTTCTTCTATAACGTTTAGAAAAAATTTTAATAAATGTAACATTTTTAGCAGCTTCTTCATCCATCATTATCTTTTCTTGAAATAATGATAATGTACCTTCAATATCTGGATTATCAACTCTTTTCAATGATTTTCTTGCATTATCATAATCACCTTTACTTATTAAATATCTAGCACTTTCAGGTGCTGATAAAATACCAACACAAGTGACTAATGCAGCGACAATACCAACACTCAAAGGGACAACCCATTCGGCAACATTTGTATATAATTCTTTAGCTAAATAAACTGCACAACCACCACCAACTATGGCACTGCAATTAATCAATTGGTATAATGAAGTACATGAACCTCTAATTGCAGTTGGAGCAGTTTCTGATATAAACATTGGTGTTAAAACAGCAACACTTCCAATACATAATCCACTAATAAATCTACCAATTAAGAATTGATACCATTTCCCTGAGATACATGAAGTAATCTGAATTGTAATACCAAAAATATAGGTCCACATTGCAATTAAAATTGGCATTTTACGACCCAAAGTAGTTGATAATCTTGCAATTGTAAATCCTCCAAAGATACAACCAATATGATAACTTGAGACCATTAACCCAGTTTGATAACTTTCCAATTGATATTCAATTTCATTTGTATCTTCATTTAATTTTTCATGACCCAATGTTTTCAAAAATGATTTCATTTGAATCATACCACCAATAACTCCAGTATCCCAACCAAATAAAAACCCAGAAAATGAAATGATTGTACATAAGAATATAACTTTTTTAAAAGACAATAAAAGTTTTAAATCAACTTGTAATAAATTTGGACTTTCAATTTCTTCAATGCCTTCATCATCACTACTACTTTCGGATTCACCATCATCAAAGCGTGAACCTCTTCTTCTTCTTTCCCCTGCCAACATTTCAACATCACTATTCAAAGAGTATAATGGAGGTCTTTGATCAGTAACATCATGTAGTTCAAAATCTTCAGGGTCAATTCTTACTTCAGAATCCCTAAAATCACCAACTTTTCCCAATTTGCTTGACATGATTTATTAATTGAACTTCAATGATGGATAGAATGTTGTATAACCTGACATTTTTTTTTGGATCACTTCATGTTTAAATATTTAAAAAGTTTTGCAATATTCGTATCAGATTCACCACATACAATTTTAATTTTTGCAATGGGTTAACAAAAGAAAAGAAAATTGGTTTTTACGCGCATAAGTGGACATTTGAATAGGCTATTAGAATTTGGACATTTTTCGTGATTATTAATCAGATATGATATGGACATTTGGAACTTCTTATCAAGTACACAAAATAATAGATATGAATAAATGGGGGATTGAAATTTATTTCGCTCAAATTTTCTCCTTAATACGTGGATCAACTTAGAAGCTATACAGAATTGAACCATGGTCAGTGTTTGTCAGTGTTTGTCAGTGGTGGTCTTTGAAAACCCTCTCGCTTTTATTTGATTTTACCGGGTATATGTGAATTGAATATCTACCTGCATAAGCGTATCTAGTAAAATGAATGAATCATTCATTAAAATAATTAATAAATATAGTGCTGATGGACTTTATGTATATACGTCTAACCTTTAAAATTTATCCATTCTTTTCAAATAACGTATCAATCTCCTCTAAAGAAACACCCTGGGTCTCTGGTACAAAGAATAAAATTACCCAAAATGATAGAAACATACATCCTGTAAATACAAATCCAAATGCATATCCAATACGATCTGTAATGATTGGTGTACAGAATCCAATAAAGAAATTAGACCCCCAATTAAATGCAGTTGCTAAAGCTATTCCGTGACTCTTGATATGAATCGGATAAAGTTCACTCACAAGAACACTAACAGATGTCCCCCATGTTGGAGCAAAACTAATGAAATAAAAACAAGTGAAAACAATCATGATTATCCCAGGGACTCTATTGACGCTTGGATCCAATGAATCTTTATCAATTTTCAAAGTACCCACAATTGAATAGATAAATAAGCATGTAGTTGCTAAAGCAGCACCTATTAGCAAAGTTTTCTTTCTTCCTAATTTTTCCACAATATAGATACCAAATAATGAGATTGGTGCATTCACAGTTGCAAGAACAATCATCGTGACATATGAATCACTTACACCTGCAATTTTAAATAAAGTTGTACCATAATAAAAGAAATAATCAACACCACTCATTTGTTGGAAAGTCATTAAAGAAACTCCAATGAAGACTCTTTTTCTGAATTGTTTATGGAAAACAAACGAAAATGGTGTCTTAGATGCTTGATTATCTACCCTAATCTTTGCTTGTAACAACTCTAATTGTCTTTCAACATTTGGATCCCCAACTTTCCTCAAAGAAGCTCTAGCTTTGTCATATTCACCAATACTAACCAAGTAGCGTGCACTTTCAGGTGTAAAGAAAATACCAACACAAACTGTTAAAGCAGCAGCTATACCTATACTTAATGGTACGATCCATTCAGATTCATTTGAATACATCTCTTTACATGCATATACTGCAATTGCACCATATAAGATAGCTGAAGCAATATTTATCTGATATAAAGCAGTACATGAGCCTCTAATTGCAGTTGGTGCAGTTTCTGATATGAACATTGGAGTTAAAACTGCAATACTTCCAATACATAAACCATTTATAGCTCTTCCTATCAAGAATTGATACCATTTCCCCGTTAAACTAGTTGTTATTTGAACAATTATACCAGTGATGTAAACACCCATTGCTATCAATATTGGTTTCTTCCTACCTAAATAACTTGATAATCTACCTATAGTGAAACCTCCAATGATACAACCAATATGATAACCTGAAACAATTAACCCAGTTTGATAACTTTTGAGTTCATATACTATGGAGCCAGGTTCTAATCCAGGTTTAGGATATCCTAGCTTGGATAAGAAGGAATCCATTTGAATAATACCACCAATAACACCAGTATCCCAACCAAATAAAAACCCAGAGAATGATATGATACCACTTAATAATATAACTTTCCTAAAAGACCAAATCAACTTCAAGTCAACATCCAATATGTTTGGACTTTCAACTTCCTCAGCAATTTCAAGATCATTTATATTGGTATTTGCTCCATGATCTACCTTTTTGGAGTTCTTAGTTGTTCCAGTCATCAGTTCAATATCACTTTGTAAGGAGTACAATGGAGGTCTTTCATAATGAATTCCATCTTGATTAGTGTAAGGAGTTACTGCTGTGGTAAGCACATTAAAGTCTTCGTTCCTATTATTTCCTTTCATTATTGAATCAACGAAGTCTTACATTATGAATCTGTTTAATAGATAGCTGAAACGCATCTTCAATGGTGATAATCCCTTATTTAAATAATCAAGATTTCTTCAAAATGTCCTGAACTACCAATGAATGTCCCATATCAAAGACAACTAGACGGATTATTAATTATCAGATTTACGACAAGCTGATAGACAAAATTTCGACTAACAACGTCTTAAATACTTTTAATGTGCACTTTCAAAGCAAAATCATGATGAGAATTTAGAAATCATTGAGTTTTAGCATCCCCTAATGCTCATAATACCTAATAATCAATGATATAAGTGATTAATACGACTGTTTCTGGACTATTAGTTCTAGAAATCCCAATTATGACCAATGTCCATTGATATTAAAAGTTTGGGGTGCATTTTTGTCCTGATCTTTGTCTATGAAAATTCTACGCACCGGTTATTTGTGAAATGGTTTTATCGGAAGAGAGCGGTGGGACACAAATGAGAACTTTAAACCAACTAGCTGATAATAGTTAATTAACAACATCAGCCATTTTAAACCCAAAGTACACCTTCTAACCACTTGATCTTCCCTTTTACTTCATTTGTTTACAATGGCTGGTGAGGCTCTCTCAAAATTTGACTTGAATGATAAAGATTGTTGCGTCTTGATTTTAAATAGATGCTCAAAGCTATTGGCTTCACCCATAGGTTATTTACCAGACTTTAAGAAATTGGTTTTGAAAGGGTTTGATATTGTCACTTCAAAAGACCCGATTGAATTTGTCATTAATGGTGAGTTGGCATCACTCTTCACAGATTCGTGCAAAATAGGATCCCATACTAACAAAGCTTTCTTATTTCAGCTGCTTATGAAATTTTTAATCTTTTATTCAGGCCATTTTTCACTGGTACTACTCAACATATTAATATTGATGAAGATGAGAAAATAAAGCTTATGGAAGTTGATGGTTTAAAGGGAACATGGTACTATAAACAACTTTACAAACTTGTATTATCAATTCAAATAGAGGTGAAAAAAATATGTTCATCTGGTTATCAAAGTTCCAAACTCAAAGAAAACAAGCTGAAGTTTCAGACCCAATCAAGACATGGAATCTATAATAACATTGATTTCCTTTCTCGTGAGACATTCAAGTCCAATTTTGAAGCTTTTGAAGCATTTGTGCAGGCAAAAATGGATGGTTTAAATGAGAATGATGTTTTCTCTTTAACACAGAGATTTATGGATGATTTTCACAACGAATTACCTGAACTTGAAACTGATGAATCAAATTACCCAAAGGAATCAGATATTAGAATGTTATATATCATCCATTTAATAAAACCAATTTCAAAATTTATCTCATACCTCATCACTAATGTTGAACGTCCAATGAAATCATGTTTTTCTCTTGATCAAGAACAGTCACTTAACGTTATAAATTGTGGTGTTTCAGAAGATTCTTTTAATAAATTCAAGAACCTACGATGGCCAGGTCCAGATGTTAACATGGTATTTAACGGTATGAAAGATTTATCCATAGCGTACAAAGGTCCATCGAAGGCATCAGATGATGAGATAAATTTGGAGTTTAAAAATATCAATTACAATATTAACATGATGGATCAAGATACCAGAAATATTGTTTTTGGTCAAACTGAACTATACATGTTTAATAAAGACGTACATAACTACATTACTTCAAATTTTGAGGAAAGTTGGTATTTTGAGTTTGCAAATGAACAATGCCATGCAGATATTATAAAGGTAGAAGATGGTTCAAAAGTAAATGACCAAGAGCTACA